GATGAGTTCAAAATATGGTTAGTGCCACTGTAATAAGTATTATTATTCTCCGGGTGTGGCTTCTGTGACAATGTTTGGATCACTATTACATTTTTCATTTTAGATTGTAGTTTACATGGGGACATTAGACTGGCCTAAGAAAAGCACAATCCAATCCAATGTTAATGCCATGTATATGTGTGTGTGTATACACACGCACACTTGTATGCTTTTTATAATTTTCTATAACCCCATTAATCCAATAACTGATGCACAGCTTGGCATTCTTGCCCTTCCTTTACATTTCTTCCCCTACCTGCCAACCCCCCAACTTATGTGACATATGGATTATATCTTGACTCTTTGGAAAGGAAAGAATGATGATCATTCAGTATACAGGAGAGGAATTCTTGTCCTCATTCATCCATCTGTTCACAGGGTAACCTTAGACAAGACATTTGAGCCTCAGGTCTTTTTTTTTTTTTTTTTTAATCTCTGACAATGACGAAAGAAGGTTTTTTCATGGAGGAAGGTGTTAGAATCCCAGGCCCTTAGCAGTTCTAAAATTCATTTCCCTCCTGCAATTTAGTATTCATCCTCAAATGTGTAATCAGGTCCCCTCAGCTCTGACTGTCTTCTGGGTTTCCATTGTGTATCTAACTGATTCATAGTGCTAACCGAACTAAAGCTGTTTTGCGTGGCTTTGCATTCAAACCTTCTGTTAAAATTGCCATGTCGTCCTCAAGGGAAGCAGTGTTGAACTTGAGTTCCTGTGCTTAATCTTATCCATCCTCTTTGAAAATAACATATCTTAGTTTTGTGGATATGATGATTGTTTTCAATTTACACTAATTTTAGAATGGTTTTAAATTCACAGAAATGTTAAGGGATTTCTCATATACCTGAAAACCAGTTTCCTATATTAATATTTTATATTATTTTGGTATATTTGTGATAATCAATAAATCAGTGTTGATATTCTGTGATTACCTAAAGTCCACTTTATTCAGATGGCTCTACTTTTTACCTAATTATTTTTTCAGCTCCAGGATTCTATTTAGCAGTCATGTCTCTTAAGATTTCTCTTCTTGGCTGTGACACTTTCTCAGACTTTTCTTATTTTTGATGGCAACAGTTTTGAGGCTGCTAGTCAGCTACTTTATAGAATGTCATTTAGTTGAGATTTGTCTGCTGTTTTTCATGATTAGATTGGGATTCTAGGTTTTGGGGAAGAAGATCTTAAAGTGCTGTTCCTATCACATATCCGAAGTATATAGTTTGAGCATGATGGAAAACTATTGATGTTAACACTGATCACCTGGCCCAGGAAGTGTTTTGTCAGATTCTTCCACTGTGAAGTCACCCCACCCTTTTTCATATTGTCCTCTTTGCTCAGAAGTGACTGTGTACATGCAACAGAATTTTATTTTGTGTTCACCTAACTGTCCAAGGCGAGTATTTCTGATGACTGTTGTCTTTTCTCCACCTGTTATTCAAGGGCTCAGTGTTCTTCCATTTATTGACATCCCTAGGGCTTTGCCATCTAAATCCAGCCAGTGCTAAGGAAAAGAGAATGTGGAGGAGAATGTTTGCTTTTAAATCCTTGGCCTGAAAATGGCACATATCACTTCCACTTACATTCCATATGACACTCATTCATCTGCCAAACCTAACTGCAAGGGAGGCTAGGACATATGGTCCAACTAGATGCCCAGGAAAAAGAGGAAATGGATTTGGGAGGAAAGCTAGTGATATTTATCATACTCCTTTAGAGAATAAAATATAAAAAACCAAGCACTACCCCCTATTATTAATAATAGAGCATTACTTCATTAAAAAATGAAAACAAAATGGAACAATGTGATCATAGAATCAAAGAGAGTCCTATAAATTGAAAAAGAAAGCTTAATAAAAAACTTCCCCACTGATCGTATTTTTCTTATTTCACTGTTGACCTGTGAACATTTGTGAGAATAGGCCTGTAAGCATTTGAGAACCTCTGCCATATATTATGTTGATACCAGACTGTGCATTATTCCTAGAGTTGGCCATGCTGATTTTGCCTCCATTCATCGTTTGTCTGGAATGCCCTTCCTTTTGTTTCTTTGCCTATAAAAGTGACAGATGATTTGTCTTCACCCAGCCTTGAGACAGAAGTATGTCCTTGCTCCTCGGTGCCATAATGCCACTGTGTATTTAGTCCTCATTTAACAGCTATCCCACACTAGTATTACATATAAATATTTTTCATCCCTACACTGGTGCTCCCTAAGGACAACACAGACTTTATTCGTCTCTTAGATACCAGGCATAGTCTACAAATATAAGCATGTTTTTCAAATGTACACAGAATGCTCAATATGTCAACAAGTGTTCTCATTTTGGAAACACATTTCTTTACAATACAACAATTATAAAAGTGAGTCTTATTTATGATAGCCAGAACTTCATGGAAGGAATCTGTAGTCCATCTTGGAAAGATTGGCAGGTTTGATTGCTGGTAATAAGGGTAATGACCTGTTAGGAAGGCTATGCTGCTTTCTATGTTTGTCAAGCAGATGGGCAGAACTCCTTTGAAATAAACATAGTGCAAAACCTGTGTGTTCATAAATCATCACTTTATTAAAACTCAGACTTGGAACTCATACTCTGAGAGAACTCCACTGCTCTTGGGCAGTGGGGCATGGTATAAATGCTTGATGCTTATTATCCTGAACAGGAGTTAGCAACCTGAATTCACAGGGTCCCAACAGGGAGATAGCTTCACCATAGCAAAAGAACTGTTTAATTACAGCTACAGAAAGAGGAGCATAAAAAAAAGCAATCAATTATTTGTAGGTATTAATGACTCAGCTGCTCTGCATCTCTTTACCAAAGAAAATATGACAACTTAGTTACTTTATCAAGATTAGAAATAAAATATGAATTAAAAGACACTTGTCCCTTCCTTCTATCCTTTTATATCTCGTCCTCTTAGCCCAGTGTTTACTTTCAAGACTTTACAAGTTCAAATAATATTTTACTAAAGCATAATTAGGCATTCTGTTCTCAGAATGCTCACTGTGCCTCACTTACATACTTCTTTGAAAAATTAGACTTTCATTAAGATTTATATTTTTAAGGGATTTTCAATTCAGAGTATTTTATCTACTTTTAAATTCTCAATGACAATAATTATTATAGAAATTATTTTTCCCACAATGCAGATGGAAAAATTCAACCTTACATGTTAAATGACTTTCTCAGGACCACACAGCAATAGGGGATCAAAGCTGGGTCTCCGACTATATCTAGAGGCAAGTGTGCCAGACCAGCACCTGCTTGCCCACAGTTAGCCTCACGGCAGAAACACTTGTGTTCTTTTTATCCCCCTCGATTATGTAACTCTTGTAACACAGCCAAACCTTCATAGAAGAGGTGATCTTCAGCTGGACTTGGATTGGTTCGTAGGGTTTGATAGATGGTGATAGGGCTACACACTTGTTTTGTTTTGTTTTGTTTTTCATAATGTGGTTAGCTAGCCACATGCTCCTCTCACTGTCCCTATTATGTTCGATTGGGTGGGCCTATGGAGGCAGTGATCAGAGATAGAGCCATTCCATAATATCTGCTACCACTCAGAGCAGTGGAGTCTGATGTGCTCAGATTCAACAGAGACTCATAAAAGGAACTGTGGATCACTAAGTTTACTAGATATTATTTAGAAGGAAATTAACTCATAAATTAAATGGAATTTTTAATTTACAAAGATAATACATAATTATTAACCAGAATGTCAAATTTCCTCATGTGTGTAGTAAGTACGTGTGTGTGTGTGTGTGGACACTGACTTGTGTATTACTAGACTCTTCAGCGTCAAAGTAATTGCTGAAGATGACCTCTGTTTCCACATATTTTTCAGGGACATCTCATGGCCATGGGGGTTATACTTTTGCCTTTTTTCCCTCACTTAAGTCATTCTTCTGATCTAACTTGATCAGAATTTCAAAACCCAGGATTTTCTGATGGATAATTGAGTAGAAGAAATTTAGCATTAATAGAAATCTTCCAAGTCCTGATGATGACTGCTGGAAGCTTAGGACTTACAGTGGCAGTTTGTTCTAAAGAAGTGATTCTGGAATAGTAATGAACCCTTAAACTTGGTGGCACCTTGCGGTCAGACACTGCATGCACCAGGGGAAAAAAAAATTCACATTTTAGCATGCTTCTGCATTTTCCTAATCATAATTAGCTTTTCCTTTTTTACATATGCTTTACTGCAGCAAATTATTATAGCTTTGCTTTTATTTTTTATTTTTTTTTTTAAGGTTTATTTATTTATTTATATAAGCACTGGGTACAGTCAGAAGTGCGGGAGGGTGAGAGAATTCACCAGAGCCAGAGCAGGGAGCAGAACAGGCAGACTGACGAAATACACTGCTGAGGGGAGCAGCGGGCGGCAGGAGAGATTTGTGCGCCATGTGGGCCCCTCTCTGGTGGCGGGGGATCGAACCGGTGCTGCAGAGGCTGAGGGCAGCTTCGCAGCCCTGCGCTCAAGCGCTGCGCCATCAGGGGAGGCCCAACTTTGCTTTTAGAAGAAAAAAAAAAAAGTAAAGATATATTACTGTAATGTCCCCTTCCCAAACACTTATTTTACTGTGTAAGCTATTGGCATGTATGTATTTACTTAGAGAATGTTTTTGACAATTTGCAAATTTGCATTTTTTTTAAAGATTTATGTATTCATGCATACAAGAACCAGGGTATAGGCCAGGGTGAGAGGACCCACCAGAGTCAGAGTTGGGAACAGAACAGGCAGACCAACTGAAATACACTACTGAGGGGAGCAGCGGTGGAGACAGGAGAGGTCCGCGCGTCATGTGGGCATCTTCCTGGCTGGCTGGGATCGAGCCCACACTGCAGAGGCTGCAGACAGCTTCACAGCGCTGCGTTCAACTGCCTGTTCCACCAGGGAAGCCCCAAATTTGCATTTTTTATAAAAAAAATAAAAATTGGAATAATCATTTCATTTTGTTTTGCAGAACCCCAGCTGAAAGGAATTGTGACAAGGTTATTCAGCCAGCAGGGATATTTCCTGCAGATGCACCCAGATGGTACCATTGATGGGACCAAGGACGAAAACAGTGACTACAGTAAGGAATATTAGGTTCTTGCAATTCATTTACAATCAAGTGTATGGCCCAGAGTATCTTAGACTTAAAGCCTGACCACAATTACTTTTAAACTATTTAACTGCTTGTAAGCTAGTATAAATTTTTTAAATCCTTCTTGCTCTGATTCCCTATGTCAAAGGATAGTAAGGGACAGAGTTTTTATACCAAATGGGAAGGTAAGGAGGCGCAAAGGAGTTTCAGTTTGTCAATCAACAAGAATATCCTCTCATTCTATTGTCTATGTTCAGATGATAATAAGTATTCATTGGAACAAAGGAGGACTTCGAGCACAAGATGCTGATCTTTAATTTTTAATCCTAGAACCAAATAGCAAACACCTTAGAATAATTCTCAATTTTCATAAATTCTAGATGTTCCAAATTACTTTTTAAGGTAAACCATTGAATACATACATATGCATATTATGTTACTTTCTTTTGATTGAAGACAAAGTTTTAAAAGAAAAACATTGAAATAATTAAAATTTATTTTATACAGTATATTGAATAGAACAGAATAATAAAGATTTGTAGACTTGAAATTTTGTTTATAATTTTTTGAAAAAAATCAAATATTAAAAGATTATTAATAACACCTCTGGCATCATCAAATTGACAAGTTTAATAACTAAACAAAATCATCATGGTGTGACAGAGTACATTTGTGTTTCAGAAAAAAAATGGAAACAAATCTTAGAACTAAGAATGTATCTCAGAGCTAAGAAGAGCTAAGAATAGTATCTTTCAATTTCTTAATAATCATATAGAGACATCAAGGGGAAAATTAATATTCTAAAATTATGTAGGGTGTCATATTGTTTTTTAAAGTTTGTCTGGATTCATTGCTAGAATTTCAGTTTTGAATATATAGTAAAAGTTCACTAAATATATGTCCAGTTGAGTTATCTTCTGAGAAATGTGATTTATGTGATCAGAGTGACAATCTTCCAAACTGCATAGGTAACCTAAGATATCTGATACTTTGTGATGAAATATCTTTTAAATTAAAAATGAAGATTTGAGGAAATAGCTATAATCCCTTAAGTGTGAAAATGTTCTTGTCCACCCCTTTCTAAATTAGTCTTTGTTCACTTAATATTACACATTACAAAATACAAATTACAATGAAGAAAAGATCTTATTATGGAGAATTTCATCCCAGTTTTCTTGCTCTTAGTTGTAAAGTAGTTGATTAGCTTATTGTGGTTATTGTTGGCTTGTGTTTGTGTGAATGCATTCTTTAAATGATTCAAGTTTTTAACTCAGCACAGAAGGATAAGGATGCTTTTCTTTCCATGTAGGATTCTCATCTAACTACATCTGTACTTGAATGTAGGTTTAGCAAAGGTACAAGTATAGATGGAAAGAATCAGGGGGACTGTATAGCTGTGTCACTCATACTCCTGGGCTGTGATGTCAGAAGCTTCCCAGGTATAATCTGAAAGTGGTCACCAAACAGAGGCCAGGGAGAGACCAACAAAAGGGGCACATCACTTCTGATTGGTAAGTTATAGTTCTAATGAATAAGGGAATTTACTTATGAGAACTTGCTTTGGGTAGCCTCAAAGCATGTGTTTTTCTGTACCTCTCCCTTCTCTCTACCCCTGCCAAGTTTCAAAACTTTTATGGAGGATTTAACTGTGTCCAGTCATGTATGCAGTCCAGAGAGTGTCAAGGCTTTATCCTTGGAGGAGCCTTTGGGACTGTACATTCCAAGTGGAAGTGGATAAGAAGCCTCCAATTGCTGAGGCTTAAGGCTGTACCTCACATTCCAAGAGTCGAGACTATAATGCACGTTCCAAGGGGAGGGAATGAGAAGCCTCTGATTACCTGGCTCCAGCTCTTCAGTCAGCAGTCCCTCATGTTCTTTTGATTGCCTCCCTCAATGCATACTAATTCTGAGTTATTGATTGATATAAATTTATTTTTGTGTAAGATGAAGTGATTGTAATATTAACATCTATCTATCTATCTCTATATATATACGTACACACATTGATGAAGATAGATTTAATTCTCCAACAAGTCAAATAACCATACTCAGTTCATATGATGCAACTGTAATCCAGATTCCTGTCCTACAGGTGTGTGACATTTATCATGGGTTGGGGGGGTGGGTAGGAGGTGGAGGCACAAGTGTGGAGTCAATTAACACAAATCCTTTACTATTTTTAGAAAAATAAGTAAAAGTGCTTTCTCTGCTGATGCTGGTTCAATGTCTAGTGTAAACCCATACCCACATATGAATACACATATTTATACACATTTACTTATAAATGTATAGTAAGCATATATCTACTAGCACAATCACATGATGGATAACACAGATACACTGAGATGATACATTTTAAGTGTTTTTAGAAAATGACTGAATTCACGAAATTAAGATATCTAATTTTTTATGAAGAGAAACTACTGCACACACTTTTTGATTAATTGATATTAAAAATAGTTTAGAAGAACAAAATGTGGAGAATAAGATAAATTCATCTGTGCACTTAAAACCAGTTTCTGGTTTAAAAATTTGTTAAAAATATGAATGAAGGGCCTCCCCTGGTGGCGCAGCAGTTGAGCGCTGGGCTGTGAAGCTGCCCTCAGCCTCTGCAGTGCCAGTTCGATCCCCGGCTGCCAGCGAGGGTCCCACATGACGTGACAGACCTCTCCTGCCATGCCTACTGCTCCCCTCAGCAGTGTATTTCGTCAGTCTGCCTGTTCTGTTCCCCACTCTGGCTCTGGTGAATTCTCTCACCCTCCTGTGCTTCTGATTATACCCAGTGCTTGTATAAATAAATAAATAAATCTTTAAAAATATATATATGAATGCATCTGAGTCCCACCTGAGTTCTACCTCTAATGGAATTCTGTTTTTTTTAACCAGATATAATAACTACCCTGATTTTTGCATTTTTATTTCCATGAAGTTTTAAAACATATTTTTACATGCATGTATATTAAAATCACTCATAATATTGTGTTTCTTGTTTCAGAACTTTTTGTGAGAGCATGTACTTTTCCTCCCAATATTATGGTTTTGAGATGCATGTATATAGGGTGATACGTTTACTTTATAGTGTTTATATTCATTTTTGTAAAGTATCCCATTGAAGGAATATAACCAAATACATTTATCTATTCTCTTTTTGGTGAATAATTATAATTTCTATTTCAAGTCAATTAAAAACAGTACAATTAAAATATTTCTTATAGTTTTTTAAAAAAAGTTTATTTATTTATGCATACAAGAGCTGGGGTACAGGCCAGACGTGCAGGGGCGGGGTGAGAAGATTTACCAGAGACAGAATGGGGAACAGAACAGGCAGACTGACTGAAATACACTGCTGAGGGGAGCAGCGGGCAAGATAGGAGAGGTCTGCTGGGCCATATGGGTAGCTCTCTGGCCAGTCAGGGATTGAACTCATGCTGCAGAGGCTGAAGATTGCTTCATAGTGTGGTGCTTAACCCCCTGTGCCACCAGGGAGGCCCATTTCTAAATAGATTTTGAAGAGGCCTTCCCTCACCATAAATTTATCAATGTATTTTTACATAAAATTTTTAAATAAAAAATATAACCTTCCAAAGTTGCATATCTCACCTTGGCGTTCTCTATTCTGATACTCCAGTGTTTTTCTACTCATACCTTCTTCAACCCCTGACATATATTTTGTTGCTTTTTTTTTTTTTTAACTTTTGATCTTCTTCCCAGAGAATGTAGTTTCCATGAGTGAGGAAACTGTTTTGAAGTATCTTGATGTATCTTTATAACCTTAGGCTGGTCTCTAATGGTTTTATCTAGTGTGTACTTCATGAAAATTGAACAAATGAATAATTGCTTATGTATATGTGCAAAAGTTTCTCCAGGTCTTTGGTTCCTGGACTCAAAGCTATGAGAGTGTGGGTGGGTGTTTCCCTACACCAACAAACACATTTTGGACACCAGCAGAGTATCTAAGAACTCAATTTAGCTTAATTCTGATACTAGTTAATAAAGGATAGTGTTAGATCCCATAGAAAAGACTTGTGTCCTAAGACCACTCTCCTCTTCAAAGGCTAGTTGAAAGTCCAGGCTGTTCTCTGTGCTTCGGACTGATGGATTACAGTTTGGGAGTTCACAGGACCCCTCCCCCAGATTTGATTAATTTGCTAGAGTACTTAACAAAACTCAGCAAATCCACCTATCACTAGATAATTGGGCTTATTACAAGGATATTATTCAGCCAGATAGTGTTAGATGCATAAGGGTAGGGGTGCAGAGACTCTATGTTTACTCTGGAGGTTCCATCTTCCCCAAATCTACCATATTTACCAAGTGGGATGCTCTCTGACACCCTTCCTTTTTGGACTTTTATGGAAGCCTCAGTTACATAGGTATGGTTGATTAAATTATTGGCTATTGGCAGTTGAACTCAAACCTATAGACCTTTCTCCCCTCCCCTGATAATGTGGAATGGGACTGGAAAATTCCAACACTCCAATCATTTGGTTGGCTCCACTGGTAGCCAACTTCCATCTACAAAAGTCACTATATTCATGTAACATAGAAACTTTTTTCAGTCTCAATACTTAGAAAATTCCAAGGCTTTGGAGCTGTGAACCAGGAAATGTGGGTAAAAAACAAATATGTGTGAGAAATATATTTTCTCATCTGAGCAAACACTGAGATAGATACATAGAGAGAGATAGATATAGGTATAGATATAGATATGGATATAGATATAAACTCCAAATATTTTTAAAATTTGTCTTTTGAAATAATTTTAGACCAGAAAAATTACAAAGTAATACAGGAAATTCTTGTGTACTCATCATCCAATTTTCCCTAATGGTGCTATTAGGTAACTATAAGAACAGTACAATTATCAAAACCAGGACATCAACACCAGTTTTGCCCTGGTTTATTCATATTTCACCAGTTTTGACTAACGTGCTTCTTATTTCACAGAAATCAGATTTTAACTGAAAAGTTTCCAATGAAAATAATTT